TATAAACGCAGAACAAACCGTTATACCGTTTTAACAAACTCAATAAGCAAAGAGCGAAAAGCAACCGGTTACGATGACAGTTCGACGGTGAATGCAACTAATTTTTATATATTAGATTACGCATTTGTTTATTAAATATAAATAAGAAAAAGTGAAAGAGTGTTTAAACACATCATGATTTGAAATACCTGAAGGTACTTTTTATGAAAGCTAAAGAAAGAGGAATTTTAGCGAAAAAGAGATATTTCAACGAATTGTCATATATGTTTATATCATATGACAATGCCCATTGGGAAGAGAAAGTGATCCTGATTAAAAAATATTATAGGTATCGCAAACGGTTAGTTTACGAGATATTCGAGCTTAAAGTTCAAAAATTCACTAAACTGGAACATTTCAACAAGCTATATCACCACATTAAACACACTTTACTCACATTTTTCACTTCAAATTAATTAAATTAAACTATAACCTTATAAATAAAACCACATTTTACACTTTCAGCAGGTTTTTTACCTAAGAAATATTTATTTTAAAATTACATTTTGCAGTAGTAGTGAGTGAGCCATGTGTGTGCTAAAAATTACGACGAAAAGAAGCGCTGCTATGTCATAGTAAGGAAACTCGCTGAAATTCCTTTTTTCCCAAAAATTCTTCTATCCATTCATATGGATATGTTCTCTGTTTAATTTAATAAACAAATAAATAATATTTTATAGTAATATTATATAATAATATTATGTATAGTATATTGTCACCTAATACACAAAACAACGTATTATCAAAAATAAATGGAAATCGCTGACAGATATGATAACCAAAATTTAACCATTTTATGACGAAAACTCAAATTTTGTTTCAATATGAGTGCAAGGTAACCAAAAAAATATTACCACTTTATAACGAAACCTCAATATATTTTCTTTATTTTTAACGCAGAAAGGAGTACTACGCGAAAGTATTTCAGTCATCCCGGGTATTCGCTCAACCAGGGTTATGTTTTTTAGAGCGCGGCCGAAGGCCGCCAACGCAGAAAGGAGAACTACGCGAAAGTACTTAAGTCACCCCGGGTATTCGTTCCACCAGGGTTATTTTCTTTAAAGTACTTAAGTCATCCCGATATGATATACATTTTATAATATTATCATAGAGTTTTAATTATTTGTGTTTATTAAATGTAAATCGCATATTATAAATATACATRTCTAAAATGTATAATACTATATGTGGAAAAAGTGTTCACAACTCAATTATAACTTAAAAAATGTTGGAAAGAATTTTTTATTATAATTAAATTAGAAAAAACAATCACGCAAAAAAACAAGCAAAGAAAAATCGTTAAGAATCCTACATATTTGGTGTTTCGGATGTGGCAACGCTCGCTATCCACATAATTGTAAACAATATAACCTCTTCAACGATGAGTGTGCTAAGTGATTTTTAAATTAATAAATTTAGGTCAAATATAGCAAAATAAAAGTGAAATGTGAATATATTTCAATGTTTAGAGTGTATATTTAAATATTAAATATACAGGGTGAAAAACATGTAAAAATTTAATGAAATATAGAGAAATACCATGTGTTATTAGTGCAAATTTTTGAACTTTTAATCGTGAATATTTTAAAAAACGTATTCTTAATATGGAGAAACTCCCCTACCCGCACATACCCCATTTATAGGGAAACTCGTTTTTTTACCTCTTCGCCAAAGTAATCGGAATCGTGCCTATTTCCTTCTAATATTTAACGCAAAAATGATGTCCACACGAGTGTTGAAACCAATTTTTAAAATATACGTTTCTTACTTAAAAAGTGTAAAATGTAAATTTGATTAATTGATACCAGGTTAATTTAATGAAATTGAACTAGAAAATGTGCGTATAGTGTATTAAATGTAGTGAAATAGCTTGTTGAAATGTCCGAATTTTTTTAAATTTTTTAACTGTAAAGTCGAATACTCTCACAACGCGGCGCCAAAGAAATCGGAATTTTGCTAAGGCTGATCCTAAATGAATTTCAACGAAAGTTATAATTATAATACAAAACAAATGTGTTAAACTAAATTAATGAAGTGTTAGTGGACATAAAACTTAAAAATCTTATAAATCAAAGAAAAATTCGGGTTGTGTTTAGTATCGCGCCGGTTAATTTCGGCTCACCGTACCTAAACGAGGGAACCAAATGGAAAACTTTAAACACGCATGTATGCTTAAATTATCGAACTTTGTTTTAAAATATATTTTATAAAAATCGGTTCACAAATTTTTCCACAAATTCACTTTAAAAAATGCTATTTTTTGCAAAATTCTAAATATATGCTAGTGTATTTTCATCTGTTGTGCATGGTACCAAACCAATTATGGATACATTTTCACGCACATATATTACTTATGAATTATAAAAACCACTAGTAATGTTTTTAATTACTTTTGATTGTTAATTTCTTTGTAAATCTTTAAATAAAATACACCTTTTTCTGCATTGAGTTCAGTAATGCGGTAAACCAAAATGACTGCCTAATTTGAACTGTCAAATTACCGAGAAAGCACGAACAAAAG